TCAGCAATGTTATTAGATGCCTTATCTTGTAAATATAATATTTTAACATTAATTTGTGCTGTTAAAAATGCAAAATGCTGCAAACCCATCTGATTTATTCCAACGTGTGTATTTCATTTTAGTTTTAATGCATGAGCACGTCTAATATATTAAATTAAAGAAGTAAAGTAACAGCCTATGTATATCCCACTGCTGAGCAAAGGACTCCGCTGAATAGACCCTCTAGGGCAGTGATTCTCAACCTTTTTTTTGTTGCGGCACATATTTAACGATTTCAAAATTTGGCGGCACACAAAAAAAAAAAGATAAAAATTATTTACTTACTACAACACACTGCATAAATAGTTTATGACAAAAATTTTAAATATACGAAATAAACTAATATATATTACAATAATAACTAAACGTTTATTATGGGATTAATTACAAAATTAATAATAAAAATATTTTTAATGCGAAATTTTGTTAATTAAAAATGTTTTTTGATAATTTAATTTATATTTGGTCGTAAAAATGACAATGCTACTCTCATATCGTCTTCTACATTTACCAATCTTGATCTTTCTTAGTTTTAATGTTGGCTAGTGCCAAAAAATATTTTTCTTTTTAAATGATATAATTTAATAATATTAACATTATTATATATTTGCAAAATTTGGCGGCACACTTTTGAAATTTGGCGGCACACAAAAGTGCCGCGGCACAGTGGTTGAGAATCACTGCTCTAGGGCATAGTCCACCACTGCGGATTGGCAGGCTTTACGTATCTTCGAAATATTTTTTTTAGTTATTATTTTGAAAATATCAAGATGTTAAAGTCATCGTTGGGCACTTAAAATTAACAATTTCATTGGTGCTGGCACCGGGATTTGAATTCGGGTTGCTGGAGGAATTATATTGAATGCGCCCGGACACTGAGCTATCATGGCTGTAAAACATAATGTAAAACCAATTACACATATGCAACATTACTGATTCAATTAAAACGTTCTTTTTAAACAAAACGCTTCATTAATATAATGAAATATTACTAAAATCAGCTAATGGTAAAATTATTCTAAATTATAATTTAGGGAATTGTTTAGTTACACGTGTTGCTAGGATGTTAATTTGTAATTAGAGATAAATAATAATCTTTTTTTATTTTCACGGTAGTAGGGTCACGCAGCAGCCTCGGCTGTTGCACGAATGGGCAGGCTCGTCCGGGTAAGTACCACGACCTTACGGAAGACCGGCGCAAAGTGGAAGTATTTATACTTTCGCGTTTCGTCTGGTGAGTGTGGTGGCCGGAGCCCGATAATCAAAAGGTTGTCAACGCATCTGGAATTTTGTACTAGTACTAGTACTTTTACTGTTGTACTAGTATATGGTTTATAAAAATTTAAAAGGCTGCCATCATATCTAAGATAAACAAATAAAAAGCCTCTGGGTTTAACACTATTATAACACAAAATTTAGGTCATGATGGTGGTGTAATTACTTACCCGCTATTTACCCGCCATAAATATTTTTTACGTATTAGACGGGAAACTTTAACATGATACGCCAATACCGCTGGTGTCAGTGATAAGATAAATACCATTGACGGAATTGTGACAACTCAAAAAGCAAGCGATTATTAAAAAGAAGAAGAAGATAAATATCTAATCTCATTACTAAAATACCCATTTTTTTAAATTCTATAACACATTAAAAATTGAATCTATAAGAGTTCTAACGTTTTTACTTTGATCCTAATAATTTAACTATTACTGAACTTGAATATTAACAACGATTATAATGACAAGCAGCACCAGTGGTTATATCACCGTCCGGGAACGCAACCGAAATCCAAGTGACCGCTGCTCCATCTGACCATGTGTCCCTTGGCTCGAGTAGATAACGTCATATCCGGTATACAGTGTTGCCAGCGCCAACATTCGGCCGTCCTGCATCACGCCTTCATCCTCGAATGGCGTTGTAGTCTTATCCTGTGGCTTATCCCTCACAGCTGGGATGTATATCGCCACGTTCAGAACACCTTACTCTGTGGCTTATCCCTCCCAACTGGGATGCATATCGCCACGTTCAGAGCACCTTACTCTTTGGCTTATCGCTCACAACTGGGATGCATATCGCCACGTTCAGAACAACTTACCCTCTGGATTATCCCTCACAACCGGGACACATATCGCCACGTTCACAGTTTTCAGTGATATATCAAACTTAGGTGGCTTTACCGGTTACACCAGTCGTGTATCGCTACGTTGTCTAAATCCCAGTGATGGTGTTCACAATGGATATCCATCACCAGTTCAAGCCTTAAATCTTCCAACTACTAAAACGCTCGGTAGCTTAACGGGATAAACCAGTTGTGTATCGCTATTTTTCATTTTCTCAAAAATGAAAAGTAATTAATTAACTGGAAGGTACTTGCGAAAACTTTCGTTACATTTAATCAAAAGATTTTATCGCCCTTACGTATAGTAAGTATAAAACACACTGTTTTATTTTACGAGGGTAGGTACACAAGGAGAAAATATGTCGCCGATTGTTTGAACAGCCAAACGCGAGTTTTCGTATTGAATCCCACTTCTGATATAAGAGTTCTAACGTTTTTACCTTGATCCTAATAATTTAACTATTACTGAACTTGAATATTAACAACCATTATAATGACAAGCAGCACTAGTGGTTATATGAACGTCCGGGAACGCAGCCGAAATCCAAGTGACCGCTGCTCCATCCGACCATGTGTCCCTTGGCTCGAGTAGATAACGTCATATCGGGTATACAGTGTTGCCAGCGCCAACAAATCATGCATGTATTTCCATATCCGAATACCTTCATAGATCCACACGGTGAGTGAGGTAGCCGAGGCCCACTTTATTTATAGGTGGCAATGCTTCTGCAACCCTACAGGTGCTATATACGTCCATGGGCGGTGGTTATCACTTAACATCAGGTGAACCGCTATCCAGCTCGTTTGCCACTTTGTCACGTAAAAAAAAGATCGATAGATCATATATATTTTTTTCATTTATCAGGTTGTTTATACCTCTAAAAAATAAATAATCGAATCTGTGTACTCAGTAGTTTGTATTTCGTATCAACTTCAAATTTCACGCCAATTAACCTTCCAATTCCGCCTTAGTTTGCAACACTCGGCTGCTACCGAAATTATCCAAATGCTTACTATGAGAGGCATAAATTAAACACAAAGTCGTGACCGCAATACAAAGAGTACTATTACTCTTACTTGTTTTTTTTTTTACAACAAATCCTTAAATCAGGATTGTTATACAGCTGAAATAACCACAACCTCGTCAGGAAATTATTTTATTTTTTAAGAATTGGAAACATGAGTTGAATTAGCGATTTTAAGCTACTTTCTGTTCATTTCCGTACGGCACAGTGCCTTCGCACTGATTTTATGGAAGTTATTACGTATCTGCCAATTCACACAATATATTATATATGAATGAGAGAAAACTAGAGCAATCGTTATCATATATCAAAATAAGAATACCTCAAAGCAAAGCCATAAAGTATTCAATTGAAAACTTTTTTTTAGAATATTCAATTTTTTTATTTTTAAGATCTTTTTTTGATTTTTATTGGTGTGTGAAAAGATTTTTTTCATTTATCTTCAAAAAATTTGAATTAAATTTAAAAAAAAACATTTCTTGAGTAAATATTTTGAAACAACATTTTCATTTTTAAAATACTAATTTCCTTTTTATTTTATAACAGCTTACCGTGTACATTTATATAATATATATAATTATACAATTGTACATTAACTTTATTCCTAACTATATAAAATTGTTGTCACAAGAGGTTACATTCTCGTTATATACTCGACCATAAATCGTTAGTTATTATTAATTTACACTGCTTCTAATATAAGGAAATATTTTAATTGGAACTTCGATAACTATTACTACGAGTAATTTCATAAAGTACTGTAATTACTTGTACGCGACTTGACAGGTTTAACAATTTCACGCATAACTGTGTGCGCTGGCATTACGTTGTTAATAATAATGGGGCATAGAGCGTGACGTTGCAAAACTATGCCACACAGAATGGAGTTTTAAATCTAAAATTAAAAAATATATATCTTTAATTTCAAGGCAAAGAGATATGGATGGTTGAAGTTTAAAGTAATTTCTGATCCAAGTATATATGCTTGTCATTTATTTCAAAGGCTTGTCATTTATTTTTTTCATTGTTTGTCATTTATTTTTTTTGTGAAAAGTTTGATGCAAGCAGGAGATTCACCTGATGTTAAATGATTACTGCTGCCCATGGAGATCTACAAAAGAGAGAGAAGAAGTAAAAGTAGTAACAGCCTATATATGTCCCACTGCTAGCCAAAGGCTTCCTCTGTATAGGGAGCATGAGGGCATATTCCACCACGCGATCCCACTGCGGATTGGTGGGCTTCTTCGAAATATTTTTATTTTTTGTTATTTTTGCAAAAATATGAAGGTGCTCACGACGTTTTCCTTCACCGCTGAGCACCTATTAAATGGCGGATTGGAAATACTTTGCTAATCATAAAAAAATGTCGAATCTTTACTAAGTTTGTATGTATGAATGGATGTTTGTTCCTCTTTGACACAAATACTATGGAATGGATTTTAATGAAACTTTACAATACTACATCTTATACACCAGAATAAGACATATGCTATAATTTATATCCATATTTGTATGTAAATCTGTCTTTCTGTGTGAATGTAACGCCTTCAGCCTATTTTACGCAGACGTAGTCGCGGGCAGCAGCCAGTTTTGAAATAAAATTGTTGAATCCTTAGACATGAAGCACCACCATTAAATAAAATCTGTCCTCCGCGATCGTGGCGATTCATACGGCAGCAGTAATTGCTGCGCGGTTCCGACGCAGCGAACATCTGAGTGTTCAACTTTGACATTTCACTTTCAGAGAAATGGATTTCAACTTTGACATTTCACTTTCAGAGAAAATGATTTTAAGTTTGACATTTCACTTTCAGAGAAAAGGTGCGAGAGCCGACGTCATGGCGCTTCTGGCGGAAGAGGAGGCTCCTGGTGGCTCTGCTGGCGTTCTTCGGGTTCTTCAACGTGTACGCGCTCCGCGTGAACCTGTCCGTAGCCGTGGTGGCCATGACGGAGCCCGTCGCGACGGAACTGGCGAACGGGACCGTTGTTTACGTGAGATCGAATTGAAAACGAAAAACGTTTTGCGTTCTGCACACTGACTACCAGTGGCGGATTTACCCTAAGGCCCAATAGGCTCAGCCGTAGGGCGGCCACATATTAGGGGCGGCCAATCGTGATAAAAAATTCACTGATGATAACAACATATATGATAGAGGCTGAGAAAGGCGGCTGGAACTTACTACATGGGCTGGGGCCTAGGGCGGCTAAGAATATAAATCCAGGACTGCTGACTACACTAATGATAGTTTTATACGAATAGCGTAGCAAAAACAGTTCGTTTTCTATGTAATCCGGTGAATCTGTATACGAAATAAGTGACGTCTTTTACTTAGTTGTTTGAGGTCATATGCACACCTTTTTACTCGGACGACGGAGAATCTTTTAAAAAACGTATCATATTCTATAGGGACTGTTAATCTATGTTTAAATCTTATTAAGTTGACATTATTGAATACTAGACTTTAATGATCTCTAGACAGTTAAATAGAACAATTGAAAAATGCTCGAAAGGTAATCGATCGGCGGCAGCACTCAACCTAGCATTTAGACATTACTTATGAGTTATATGCAAGTGAAAGTCGTGGAGCTTAAGAAAGAAGCATTTTACCCGAGTATTGTTGCTGGTCCATATATTTCCTAAATCGATGCAATGAAAAAAAATTACTCGCGGACGATAAAACTTGAATACATATCATTGCTGATGGTAGACTTACTTCCCGTCATATGACGTATACATACCATGGCAGCAAATTCTTTAGAATTATTGGTATAGTGAGGGGTATTAGTAAGCTAACACTAGCAAGTAACGTCGCATAATCTATTTCGTCTAGACTTCATAGACGGTGTATGAAACTAATAAGCTCTAGATATCAAATACCTAGACGTACTTTTCGATATCGCCTTGCTTCTAAAAGTTCTAAAAATATCACTGTAACAGTTTTATATCGCAACTAAATCGGGTCTTTCTTTTTGATATCGACACGTAGTGGCACATTTATTAAAGTTATTCGATGTTCTAGAAAAGCCTTGTTGTATTCTAGTATTAAAGCCTTCTTGTATTCTAGTATTAAAGCCTTCTTGTATTCTTGTATTAACTGATGTTTTTGCTTTCAGTCCCGAGACTATTAAAGCTTCATCTGACGCAGAACCGGTGGGCTAGCCAGAACCCACGGGTTTGGGATTAAAGCCTTCATTGGCCCGTCCTTGGAACGTATAAGTCAATGCACAGAGGTACCTGAGAGATCCTTGAGGTCATCCTTTCATCATGACGACGCAATTGGGGTAGTGGATAATTGACCTGTCTCCAGCGCCAGGAAATGTGGGTTCGATCCCCATTACTGTAAAAAAAGTTGTGTCTCTGTGTTTATATATATATAATATGTATTAATTTACAAAAGAAAAGTATGTTTAATTATGTTTTATCAGTTACCGAGTATTCTTAGTACAAGCTTTGCTTAGTTTGGAACTAGATGGCGTTGTGTAAAAATGTGTCCTGAAGTATTAATTTATTTGACCCGTGACACCAGATTAAAACTGTTGCCTCTCCCGAGGATATGAGGTTATGGTATTTTTCATAACAGGACGATATTTTTATAAATTGCACTGCCCGAACTCATCGTCGCGAACTTCTAGCAAGAGGGTGTGGAACAGAAATATTTTTCTTCTAGTATTAGAAGTAAACTCAGCTTTGAAACTGTTCAAGAATATCGGTCAGCTTTGTTAGAAAATGTTTCTTGCTTTGTATAATATAACATTTTCAAAAAACATAACGTAAATACGTTTTACATGTAAAGTCATAAAGTCCGTCCTCCTATCACTCGCATATTAAAAGTCTACAAGGGTACCGGTCGTTTTAACGACCCCTTTGAGTTTATTGTGTTTGCTATCTTATGTCGTACGGGACAAAATTTGAGATGCGAACGCTTTTATAGAAAGTATATTGTACTTCAAGACCAACCTTGACGATGCCGTGTTGTAAACCCTAATCGGCTACGAAATAACTATGATAAACCACTGGCTTTTGACTTAAGCTTATTAAAAAATGCCTTTGCTAAAAAAATGCCTGCTAATTCGGTGAATTTTTGAAAAAGATTGACTACTGTTCAATAGCAGAAATGTAATCGGAGAAAAAAGGATAAGATTTAAACTCAAAGCAAACTAGTAATTGGCAATACACCGCGTGCAAATACTACGAAAGAACGATCTATCGAGGTTCGTTCAAAACTAATTTTAGTAACAATCGATGAAATTATATTTTGTCCTTGATTATTTTTCTGCATATGTTCAACGGCGATATTATTAAATAAAGAAGCATACTTTTATATTTGTGAAGCTACGCAATAGCTTCCGCTGTTTCACGAATAGGCAGACTCTTCCGGCGAAGAGCCACGTCGTAACGTTTAGAGAAAGTATTTATACTTATGCTTAACGTCAGTCTTTGCCTTTCTGTCTGGTGTGTGAGGCGACCGTGACCCACTCTTGAAATGCTGGCAACGCAATTGCAATCATCAAAATTATACCTTACAAAAGGTTATTATACCTTCCTTTTTAGAAAAATACTAAGAAACAAATATCAATTATTCGCTTATAACTACGATGTGAACAAGCCACTGGAAATTTCCGATATTTCAGCACTAACTTACTTGAGCTTTATATGGCACCCTTACTTAATTTAACGGCCTGTATTTAGGGTTCCGTACCAAAAGGGTAAAGCGGGATCCTGTTACTAAGACTATTTCTGTTGCTACTGTAACAACAAATACTAAATAACAGATTACAGACAGACATGATTTTTTGCCATTTTTATAGATAATGGTATGGAACACTTCGTGCGCGAGTAGCAAGTAGGCTAAGCGGATGTTATGATTTAAATTTATAGATGTTCTTAACAATAACAGATTACAGACAGATATGATTTTTTGCCGTTTTTATAGATAGTGGTACGGAACACTTCGTGCGCGAGTAGCAAGTAGGCTAAGCGGATGTTATGATTTAAATTTATAGATGTTGTTAACCCTCGGAATGTTCTACCAGATACCCGAGTTCGACTGGAGCTCGCAGACCAAAGGGCTAGTGTTGAGCTCATTCTTCTATGGGTACATAGTGACGCAGCTACCGGGCGGATGGCTGGCCGCTAAAATAGGAGGTAACAGGTTCGTTCCATTCTTTAAAACACACGATACATAAAATGTTACTATTCAATAGTTCATCAATAAAATACTCTTATTATAACACGGAGCCGCTTTTATAATAAGTTGATGTTGTTCTTAGCGACTACTAATTCGGGGATCAGAATCTAAATACTAAGTAAGACAAGTACATTCTCATGAAATCCAGTAAGTATACTTCGCCTAAAAAATCACCCTGTATATTGTGTGATTACTCGTAAACAACAAATTTGCACAAGCCGGCATTTGTCTTGATTGTCAACTCTGAGGTCGAAGGTTAAAAACTTCGCCCATTAAGAACGCCTGAACAAGTTTCAGCTACGACGTTTCATATGAGTGAAGTACCTACCTCTCTACTTGTATTTAACGTCACTATAATGTTACTAGCTGACCCGGCAAACTTTGTTTTGCCATATAAATTATTTGTAGGGTAGAAAAAAATGTTTGGGGTGGACCACCCTTAATATTTAGGAGGATGAAAAATAAATGTTGTCCGATTCTCGACCCGATATGCATACAAAATTAAACGAAAATCGGTCGAGCCGTTTCGGAGGAGTTCATTTATAAACACCGTGACACGTGAATTTTATATATTAAAAGAGATATATTAGCATTCTAATATTGAAATAGTGTGTATATGTCTCCTCTTTCTTTATGCGTAAAGCAAAGGATTGGAACAGTTTGTCGGCGTCACATTATAATGTGAGCGTCTTGAGCTATTTTTTTATGTGAATGTGGCACGCGAGCCATAGACATTTGCAACACCCGTAGGATTGCAGATGCGTTGCACCCTTTAATAAAGTGGGCGACGGCTACCTCACTCTGTAAGAGGTAAATTTAGATGCTAAATCTGTACTTACCATCAAGTGAGAACATCAAACAATACCCGATATTTGGGTAAAAAAGTATGGTTAATTTTTTGCTTAATTCTTTAGGGTGTTCGCGATCGGTATTGGCGCAACATCCCTGCTGACCCTGTTTACACCACCGCTGGCCCACACCAGTACCGCGCTCCTTATAGCCGTCAGGATCGTCGAAGGTCTTTTCGAGGTTCGTATGTTACCATTACGATGGACAACACTATCTTAGTGTTGTGGTATAAAAATGCCTTTGAGAACAACATTAATGGCAAAGACTGTTAAAGAACAAAATCTCAGGGGAACGTAGTTCGTTAGTTGTCTAGTGTACTTTTCTAATAATTGTGACCGGGGAAATACCACGCTATCATATAGGACAGGTTCCAAGTATGTTAAAATAAATGTCTTTTAATATGAAGCTGTGGAAGTGTGAATTTATGGATATTATCCCCCATTTGGATATTATCTTGTCCGTTCGTTTTCTGATCTTTCGTATAGCAAATACAGCAGCAAGTTAAACTTGATTATTTGCTGCCATTCTAATATTCAATGCGAAATAATAAACCTTTGCAAACTAACAAATTCATAGTCCGATAGGCATATATGCGGGTATATCGCCATACATTTATTCTACAATTGTTCGTGTATATTGCTTGGAAACTCAAACATTCTAAACGTTTACATCTCACACCTCATATGCATCTGATTTATCTGAGTATTTACATTATTTACCTCAAATAAATTACCAAAAATTCTAATATTTGGTTTGAGTGCTTTAATTTTTTTTCGTTCCCATTGACTGTAATATCAACACAGAGCGGCGATAAGACATATGCAACCGATGGTATTGGTAGATATCTGTAAATGGCGGTGATAACTAATCCTCAGGCGATTACCTTCCGTCAATATCTTCTAAATAAGCTTACATTTCTTAGAACAAGCTTTTATTCGTCGTTAATAAAAACCAATCCCTTGCATTTTGATACCCATATCGGAAGGTCAATGTGGAGGACGTAAATTGCTATTTTATTTACATTTACCTAATCTTGTATTATTACGAGATCCAAACGAATCTACCAAATATCAGCTCATTCATATATGATTTAACTTGCAAGATTCGATTAGAGACCCGGGACGGGTGAACTAAACAAAAGTCTGTAAACGGAATAATAAAACGGCTCAGAATGAGTGGAATGAGTTCGTTCTCATCCCACTCACCCTGGTGGAGGACCTCCGATAGGTCCGAAACTAGTCGGTACATAAACGGATTCCATTTGAGCTTAGCCGTTTTATCATATCGTTAATAAAGCCCCACGAAAGTTTTTCATTTTAAAAGTCTGTAAAATACAACAGAACAAACGTAGATACATGTAAAGATTTTCGCGCCGTAAAGTCATCGGCCGCGTAGCTTAGTAGGCGAAGCGTATGGACGCGAAACCGGAACACGGAAGTTCGAATCCCGCAGCGCCGAAAGTTTTTGTTCATTTATCTACAAAATCTATACGACCCAAATAGTGTAGTGTGTTGTGTACCTGCCTCCTGAGCCATAGGGTGTGTGTTCGAAATATTGTGTGATGAACATAGTATTTTTCTAAGCTCTGTGTTTATATAATATATATAATGTGTTAAAATATGTAGAAAAAGTGCGAAAAGATTGTCGCCGCTGTGGGAATCGAACCCACGTCTTCGGCATTCGCGGCCTGACGCTCTAGCCACTGAGCTGAACGGCTGATGACCACACCGACGAAAATCTTAACGCATTCCTCTACATTGTTTTCTTAGCATTTGAAGCAATGCTTGGCGCCATCTATTGTTATATCCTTTCCAGCATACAAACAATTTCGAATATCGTTTTACAACGATAATTCGAACGAGAGATGTCGCCATTGCTTTTTTAGAAATTTTAATTGTTTATAGTGCTAATCTTTGCACTTAAGATTGAACATTAAAATATGTAGAAAAAGTGCGAAAAGATTGTCGCCGCTGTGGGAATCGAACCCACGTCTTCGGCATTCGCGGCCTGACGCTCTAGCCACTGAGCTAAACGGCTGATGACCACACCGACGAAAATCTTAACGCATTCCTCTACATTGTTTTTCTTTAGCATTTGAAGCAATGCTTGGCGCTATCTATTGTTATATCCTTTCCAGCATACAAACAATTTCGAATATCGTTTTACAACGATAATTCGAACGAGAGATGTCGCCATTGCTTTTTTAGAAATTTTAATTGTTTATAGTGCTAATCTTTGCACTTAAGATTGAACATTAAAATATGTAGAAAAAGTGCGAAAAGATTGTCGCCGCTGTGGGAATCGAACCCACGTCTTCGGCATTCGCGGCCTGACGCTCTAGCCACTGAGCTAAACGGCTGATGACCACACCGACGAAAATCTTAACGCATTCCTCTACATTGTTTTCTTAGCATTTGAAGCAATGCTTGGCGCCATCTATTGTTATATCCTTTCCAGCATACAAACAATTTCGAATATCGTTTTACAACGATAATTCGAACGAGAGATGTCGCCATTGCTTTTTTAGAAATTTTAATTGTTTATAGTGCTAATCTTTGCACTTAAGATTGAACATTAAAATATGTAGAAAAAATGGCGCCAAGCATTGCTTCAAATGCTAAGAAAACAATGTAGAGGAATGCGTTAAGATTTTCGTCGGTGTGGTCATCAGCCGTTTAGCTCAGTGGCTAGAGCGTCAGGCCGCGAATGCCGAAGACGTGGGTTCGATTCCCACAGCGGCGACAATCTTTTCGCACTTTTTCTACATATTTTAATGTTCAATCTTAAGTGCAAAGATTAGCACTATAAACAATTAAAATTTCTAAAAAAGCAATGGCGACATCTCTCGTTCGAATTATCGTTGTAAAACGATATTCGAAATTGTTTGTATGCTGGAAAGGATATAACAATAGATGGCGCCAAGCATTGCTTCAAATGCTAAGAAAACAATGTAGAGGAATGCGTTAAGATTTTCGTCGGTGTGGTCATCAGCCGTTTAGCTCAGTGGCTAGAGCGTCAGGCCGCGAATGCCGAAGACGTGGGTTCGATTCCCACAGCGGCGACAATCTTTTCGCACTTTTTCTACATATTTTAATGTTCAATCTTAAGTGCAAAGATTAGCACTATAAACAATTAAAATATATATAATGTATATTTATTTCCAAAAGAATAGCATGTTTATCAGTTATCTAGTACCCGTAGTACAAGCGTTTGGGAGTAGAGAACGTTTTATAAATTATTTATTTTATACTTTAAAGTTTAAATAAGTGATAAAAATAAAAATAAATCTTAAAACAAGTATGTGAAATAGTTTGAAAGCTGTGTTCTCGGCAGGGCGTGACTTACCCGTGCATACACGCCGTGTGGTCCCGCTGGGCGCCCAGCGAGGAAAGGGCGCGCCTAGCGACGTTCGCCTTCAGCGGAAGCTACGCCGGTACAGTCGTCTCGATGCCGATCTGCTCCCTACTCGCCCACTACACCGGCTGGCCGGGGATATTCTACGTGTTCGGTGAGGTGTTTACTATATTTGAAGTGAAACTTCTAATGCGACTTCCAACAAGGTTGCGTTGAACGTTCAACGTTCAGAGGTGTTCAGATTTCCAGGAGCTTCTCTTTCTAGAGACAGATCGAGAGTGAATGCGTGGACTCGGGGTTTCACTTGTTCCGCTTTGTATTTGTATTTGTAATTTTATATATGAGAAGGTGGCAAGTGAGCAAGCGTTTTGCCTGATGCTAAGTGATGACCGCCGCCCATGGACGCAACGCCCGTAGGGTTGCAGATGCGTTGCGACCTTTTAATATAGTGGGCCGGCTACCTTACTGATCAGACGAAACGCAGAATTATTACACTTTCACTTCACGCCGGTCTTCTGTGAGGTCGTGGTACTTACCCGAATGGACCTGCCCATTCGTGCAACAGCCGAAGTTGTTGCGCGGCCCTACTACAGTAAGGGTAACCCCCCACTAGATGGAGTCTGTAGGGGAGACCTTTGTTGAGCAGAGGACTCAAAAAGGCTGAAACGATGATGACTTACCTCTATCCTAATAATGAGTGGTAGGTTGACGACTGTACTGTCTATTGAATAAAGATATCTGACTTTGACTTGTCTCGGAAATCGAATGCACCGAAACACATAGCTTAAAGGCCCATTTACACGATGCCATTTTCTTGTACATACAAGAGCAATAATTGAATGCAATAAATTGCGCGCAATAATTTGTTAGACCATTTGTTGTTTAGACCATGCAACTCATTTATTGCTTCAATTTAATTGTATACTACAGGCAAGAAACTTGCACCGTGTAAATGGGCCTTAACTCCAACACTGAGTCACTGACAATGTCAATTTTCAAAAATCTTGGTTATCCCTCCATAGGCATCTTGGGACTGGTGTGGACGACGATTTGGTGGCTGGTGGTGAAGGAGTCGCCAGAGAAAGATCCTCACATCACAGCGGCGGAACTGAAGTATATACAGGTGATGTCGAGCTACTTCGAAACAAATAAGAACACGTATCATGAAATGTTTACTACTGGATTGCGTTGTAATCTCTTTCTTATAGAGTTTGCAATAAAAGATACAGGATTAAAAAAGAATAACTTTATCGTAAATGAAAAGTATAACTCAGTATTTAATATAGGTACTACAATATACAGCGTGGCGTTACCATCGCGACAATAAATGAACACACGTCTAACGCTACGTGCCAATAATCATAAAAAAATATTAACGTTAAGCAAAATCCATAAATAAAAAAAGTTATCCCCTATATGTGTGTTCATTTATTGTCGCGATGGTAACGACACGCTGTATATAGTATTTGGCATAGTACCTGATGTGGCTCGACTGATCTGGCTCAACAATACGTTTACCAAGACAGAATTAGTATACTTCTATCTTTTCTTTTAAATATAAAAAAAAAATCGTGTCACGTGTTTGTCCGCGATGAACTCCTAAGCTACTGAACCGATGTGTGCAGTGTTATCTAAACTTGAGAGAAAGGATATCTTATATCTCAGATTATAGTCGTTTAACATTTTTTGCATTTTTTTTTTAATATTTGACGGAGTTATAATTTTCTGTTAGTTCCATAAGACTCTAACAGATGGCGGTGTAAGGTAAGTTTATCAGCTCGATTGAGCAAATATCCAATAGATAGCTATGCTAGCTAGAATAGCTATGTTAAAAGACCAAACCATATGGACCTGGTAGGTGGTACTGCAATCGGAGTTTTAAAAAAATAGGTTTTTTAAAGATTTTTCACGTTTGGAAATACAATTGAAACCGGTAATAACAGATTTGGTCCACATGAAGTTGCGCGAGCCAGCTAGTGTATGTATAAAAATATTGATTGTGATATGGTATATATATATATATATATATTCCACCTTTTGAACACTAATAGTGTTAAAGAAATAACAAAACATTTTGAGGGCGATATAGGCGGTTCAGTTGATGTTAAATAATTACCGGTGCCCATGACATCTACAGCACATCGGATTGTTGTTCCGGTTAACAGTGCTTATATAAAACGTTATAGCAAAATATTACCACTTCACCACATGCGGACTTTGATGACCTTTTAGCTTTGTTGTTGTAAACCGAGCTATCTACTTCCTACTCTAGCTAATAATGACATTCAAACGTCCAACCAAACCTGTCCTAGGAAAAATAAACGGGATAAAATAGTTTCATTTAGTAATTAATATGTTATCACTTGTGAACTTTTATGCGTTATTTTTAATCGTAATCGACGTAATCTGGTCGAGAATTTAAAAATCAAATTAAACGCGATAAAATCCTTAAAATGGCATCATTTGACAATGTACAATATTCGCGTAAAAAAAAAAAAAAAAACAAAATGTTTAATCCCGTAAACACAATGAACTGTCAGAATTGTGGACAGTTACGATGTTTCGACGTTTGGGAGACTCGAAAGTTTTTCTCGACCAGGATTCCAGGGGCACCCAGGCGGTGGAGGGGTCCAGGATTAGGCACCCTTGGTGCGCGATGCTGAGGTCCGGCCCCGTGTGGGCGATCGTGATGGCCCACTTCAGCGAGAACTGGGGCTTTTACACCTTACTCACCTTCCTGCCGACGTTCATGCAAGGTGACCCGTTTTTTTTTCTTTGTTACTATCTTTGCTACGTGAGAAAGGGGCAAGCGACCTGGCGGTTCACCTGCTGGTGAGTGACGACCGCTGCCCATGGGCATTCGCAACAGCCGTAGGGTTGCAGATGCGTTGCCTTATGCGCTGCGACCTTTTAGTAAAGGGCGCCCCGGCTACCACACTCACCAGACGAAATGCAGAAGTGTAACACTTCCGCTTAGCGCCGGTCTTCTGTGAGGTCGTGATGCTTGCCGGATGGACCGGCCCATTATTGCAACAGCGAAGAATATTGCGTGACTCTGCCACATGTTCATCAGAGGGAGCTTCACTTAAGATGAGCTTCTAATCCAAGGGCATAAGAAATGAGAACGCGAAAAAAGGTCATGAATTATTAAACGTGAAATAATTAGATTCATTTACCAAATAAAAATGCATTTGCCCCTTTTGTTTCGATGTGAAAATGTAGTAAGCGAGTTGGCGGTTCACCTGATGTTAGGTGATAACCGCCGCCCATTGACATTTGCAACACCCGTAGGGTTGCAAATACGTTGCCTTATGCGATGTTTATCTTGTAATAAAGTGGGGCCCCGGCTACCTCACTCACCAGACGAGACACAGAAATGTAACACTTACCTGCACCGACCTGCCCATTGTTACAAACAACGAACACTGTAGTAAGCATGTACCTGAAATAATTCATTAGGTGAAATCGATGCGAACCGCCAGGCTTCAAGAAAAACATTGTTAAATTTTAAATTCCATTAAATTTTAATTTTGTACCGTTTCCTTTAATTAGGATGGATGGTCTACTGTTGTGTCCCTACCACAGTTAAATGTGTGTATTCGGCAAAGTGTTGTCTCATCAAGTTTCGCCCGCAGACGTGTTCAAATTCGAGACTTCGCAAACGGGCTGGCTGTCGGCCGTGCCGTATCTGGCGATGGCGGTGGTGCTGCAATTCGCTGGCCACCTCGCTGACTGGATGCTGAGGCGCGGCACGTTGTCCAGGACCAACATACGAAAGCTGTTCAACTGCGGCGCGTTCCTGGCGCAGGTGAGCCTGGATTGTACCCAGCAGGGCCAAGAGATTCAGCCCAGTAGTCCCGGGCTCATAGAATGGGACTAACTATCTCCTGCCTGTCGTAAAAGGCGACTAAAAGGGGACACGGATTGGCAACAGCTCGGAGTGGCCTCGAGCTGCTGCAAGATGGCGAGGAAATTGGGGAAAGGTTCACCCTTCTTATCCCTTGCCTGCCGTAAAAGGCGACTTAAAGGGGACACGGATTGGCAGCAGCTCGGAGTGGCCTCGAGCTGCTGCAAGATGGCGGGGAAATTGGGGAAAGGTTCACCCTTCTCCGAGGCGTGCTCACGCCCAGTACAGAGGGACCGGTGCGTTCCGTGGGAGATCCCGGAGCCCCCTCCAAACGTACAGTAGTTGGCCACCGAGGGGGTTATAGTGGGTAAGGACCCCACATAACCCTGTCATGTAAGGTGACACGGTATCTTTTGGAGATTTCCTCCCAGTACCAAAAAAGGTGACGCACCTCTGGATGGGTTATTGTTTAATTATTTATTAATCTTACGCACCGTATTCGATATAGTAATGTCACTGATGAAATAATTCCTAAGTTGTCTCACGCACGCCGTTGTATCCTACGCCCCCCCCCCCCCCCCCCCCCCTTCCCCCTCCAGTATAGCGCACAAACGTTTTGGTTCTTGACGGCCTTGCCTATTAACTTAGTATTACTGCCCTTCGCAGACGATCTTCATGGTGGCCGCCGCGTACTCTAGCACAGTGGTGGGGTGCATCGTGTGTCTCACGATCGCAGTAGGCCTCGGCGGGTTCGCTTGGTCCGGCTTCAGGTAAATGGAAAGGAAGTCGTGTTCTGACGGGACTCAAGCCGTGCTCTAATTGGGGGGGGGGGGGGGGGAGTTGCACTACTGATGGTACGAAATTCGCACGTGTCAAAATGACCGTCGCCATTTTTGCGTATATCAAAATCAAAATCAAAATCAAAATATATTTGTTCAAATAGAAGCTTGCGCGCTCTTATGAATCGTCAAATTTTACATCAAAGATTATGTGTATAGGTTCGTAAGGTACCACCGGTTCGGAAAGCGGTTTCTGTTGAGAAGAGACCGGCAAGAAACTCAACAGTTGCTCTTTTTCAAAAATATCAGGGTACAATATAATATACAGGTATAATAGTCTTATTCTAGCCTACGTGAGTATCAACAGTATTAACTCCACACATTGGCGTCGTCGAGATATTCCAAAATGGTATAATATGCTTTAATCATCAGTTGATTTTTAATTTTACATTTAAATTGGTCAAGCGGCAGACTTAATATCGACTGTGGGATTTTATTATACATGCGTACACTTTGCCCCATGAACGACTTATTTACTTTTTGTAGACGAAACAATGGCGTAGTAAGTTTGTCCTTATTTGTAGTGTTTATTTTATGTCTGTCACTATTCTTTAGGTAATAATTAAGGTTATGACGTATATACAAAACATTACAATAAATGTATTGAGAAGCAACAGTGAGTATATTAACCTCTTTGAAAAGATCTCTGAGTGAATTCCGGGCTCCGATATTGTAGATTGCTCGGACAGCTCTTTTTTGAAGAATAAATATAGTATTTATATCTGATGCACTACCCCACAACAAAATGCCGTACGACAAGATGCTGTGAAAAAATAACTAAAGTAAACAAGTCTGGCAGTGTCGATGTCTGTTAGCTGCCTAACCCTTCTAATCGCAAAAACCGCGGAGCTCAGCCTATTCGCAAGAGATGATATATGGGGACTCCACTGGAGCTTTGAATCTACTGTAATTCCCAGAAATACAGCAGACTCAACTGGATTAATTGGGTACGTTATTTAATATTAAACTAAAACTTTTCCTTCTTATACTGGGAAGGGTAAAAAGAATACATCTGGTTTTTTTGGCATTTAATACCATATTATTAATAGTAAACCAGTGGAGGATATGTGAAAGCGCACTATTCACGTCGTCATAATTTAATACGTTTCGGTCAACTTTAAAAATAAGCGATGTATCGTCAGCAAACAGTACAACATCACACAACCCACTGGCATAAAAGGGGAGATCATTAATATATACTAAAAATAATAATGGGCCCAAGATTGATCCTTGTGGGACTCCCATTTTCATCTGGGACCCAGTGGAATTAACATCATTTATAGATACTTTTTGAATTCTATTACTAAGGTAAGAGGCAATGAGATTGAGGGCGATCCCACGAATGCCATAATATTCTAGCTTTTGAAGAATAGTTTTATGGTCTACGCAGTCGAAGGCTTTTGAAAGGTCACAAAAGACACCTATTGCATCTTGTGACCTTTCCCAGGCGTTATAAATATGTTTGACAAGTGCGACGCCCGCATCTGTTGTCGATCTGCCTTTAGTGAATCCATATTGCTCATCGTGAAAGATTTTGTTCACATTAAAATGAACTAAAAGTTGATTTAATATTAGCTTTTCAAAAACTTTACTAAGAGATGGCAATATGGAAATAGGTCTATAGTTGCCTGGATCATTTTTATCACCACTTTTGTAGACAGGTATTATCTTACTAAATTTCATAAGATCTGGAAATATTCCAGAATCTATGCAGTTGTTAAAAATAGAAGCCAAATGTGGTGCAATATATGGCATTATTGTGCTCATTAATTTTATGGACATACCCCATAAATCCTCTGTATTTTTAAGATTAATAGAATTCAAAACTTTTATAATATCATAAGTATCTACGTGATTAAATTTAAATGTGTGTAGACAAGGGGTAACATTATTTCTTAAAACATTAATTGCGTCTGCGGGAGATGATTTTAATGTACGTGTGACATTAACCGCAATGTCTGAAAAATAGCTTTCGAAACTACTCGCAATTTCGTTATCTGATATTATGGGAGTATTACCTATAACTAGTTTTATAGGTTCCCTGAATATCTTGGTTCTTCCAGATATACGGGTAATGATGTCCCATGTGGCTTTAGTTCTATTGTTTGAATTTATTATGCTATTTCTTATATAAATAGATTTTGCCTGAACACAGACTTTTTTAAATATTTTTGAAAATGTTTGTACCCGTTTAAGGAAGTTAGGATCGTGATTCCACTGCCTCATACTATATAATTCATACAATGAATCCCTACTTTTGTATATACCCAATATATTCTCATCTAACTACGAGGCTAGCCCTAGAAGTAGATAGCTAGTCGATCGGTGACGTTAGTCTAAAAACGAGAGCTTTTTAAGGATTTTAATGTCAGTGACAGCCATGTCCACAGCGTCTGTTATATTATCGAATAAGTCTAAAAGAGCTATTGGTACCAAAATACATATATTTCTTATCCCCACTTCCGGCTTAACTCGATATAATATGTAATAAAACAAATTTGACTTCTTTTTTAAATATTGTCCTTAATTTAGGATAACATTATCCTGTGCTGTAAGGAAGTTTTACATACACAAATTTCACGCGGACAAACACCCAGATGCGAAACAACTATCTGTGGGTCACACAAATAGTTGTCCCGTGTGAGAATCGAACCTATGACCGCCGGCGCCGAAGCCAACGCCTTGAAAACTGCGCCACGGAGTCATCACGATGCGATTAGGGCAACGGCGGTCCTTTCCACCTTATTTGCACTACCATATCCCGGGTGTTGCGGATGTCCGTGAGTAATAGTTACTTCTTAAGATCAGGTTTTTTTTTTTTCGTGTGAAAAGGTGGCAAACGAGCTGGTGGTTCACCGGATGTTAAGCGATAAATAATGGCAGGGTTGCATTGATGCGTTGCCACCTTTTTATAAAGCGGGCCCCGGTTACCTCGCTCACGAGACGAAACCCAGAAGTGTAACACTTCCACTTAACTCCGGTCTTCTGTGAGGTCGTGGCACTTCTGGTTGGACCTGCCCATTCGTGCAACAGCGAGGGCTGCTACGTGGTTCTACCAGCTGGTCCTGCCACGTTCACATATAAAACGACCATACGTGTCCAATTCCAGCGTGAACCATTTGGACATAGCGCCGCCCCACGCCAGCGTGCTGATGGGCCTCTCTAACACGGTGGCCACTCTGCCGGGCATCATCAGCCCGCCGCTCGCCGGCTCCATCGTCACAGACAAGGTATGACGTCACCCCTTCCGTTTTCCGTCACGGACTGGGCTAGCCGCGGAGAAGTGTGACGTCATTGATGTTCTACACAACAGTGGAGACAATCGTAGTCTAATGATCGCTGAACGCTACTTTGAGAAAGAGTATTAATTTGTGCTTCGTGGTTATATTTACTCTCGCGTTTTCTCACCGTGTTATTTGTTTTACTTCTGAATATAGTTTTCTTTGCTTTTTCACTAAATAAATTCTATAAAATACTTGAATATAGAAGTAATTTATGTCATAACTCGACCCTTGTTCAGAAATACGAAAAATTCGAGTAATAAAAATATATTCTATTTATGAGTTGAACTTATATACTCGTGAACCAGAAGTATGTTTTTACGTGCAATAAATTATAAAGATAACTATTAAAAATACCTATAGTGAACTGCTGTCGAATTCTTAATGTTTTGTTGTAATGATTTTCGTCGGTGTGGCAATAAGCCGTTTAGCTTAGTGGTTAAAGCATCTGGGCGCGAAGCGTGGGTTCGATTCCCTCAGCGGTGTAAAACTTCTCGTCCATTTTTTCAAGCAAAATTTTTAAATTTAATCTCAAGTGCAGACTAGCGTTACAGAAAATTTGACTTATATTTCACAATAAATAGCATTCAATCGCTTTCCGGAAAAACCTTACAATACTCGATTACTCAACCATTATTACCCGTCATTGACCACCCGAATGGCGTAGTGGGTAGTGTACCTGCCTCCTGCGTCAAAGGGTGTGGGTTCGATCCCCACTACAGGAAAAATATTGTGTGATGAACATAGCGTATTTCTAGTGTCTGGGTGCTTATTATATGTATAACATGTATTTATTTACAATAGAAAGTTATGTTTAAGTATATTTATCAGTTATCTAGTACCCACAGTACATCGTCGCTTAGTTTGGCACTAGAGAGAGTTGTGTAAAAAATGCGTCCAAAAATATTTATTAAAGTAAAAGTAAAATATACTATATTGTACACCAAGACACATTAGGGTATTTAAAATTTAAAAAAAAAACACACAGGTACAACAAGCGGCCTTATCGCTTAAGCAGCGATCTCTTTTAAATGGGCAATGTTTATTAAAATAAAAGAAAGTGGCAGGGGTGTACCAAATGAATATTGAGAATATTACTTATTCCAGAGCGCGGGGCAATGGCGCAAGGTGTTCTTCATATCGAGCGCCATCTACCTGCTCGGCGCCATAGTGTACGGCTGGCTGTGCTCCGCCGAGCGGCAGCCCTGGGTCGCCGAGGCGGACGGCGACGCGAGCTTCGACACGGACGGCGCCTCCGTCACCACCGCCAGGGGCTGCGACAACAAGGCGATGGAGCACAGCGAGATGTGAACGCGCACCGGAGAGATTCGAAGGAGGAACGCGCGCGGCGCGCACTGGAGATTTAAAAAAAAAAGTTTTTTTTTTAATTTATTTATTAATAGTCAGCCCTCAACGACGCACGGCGAGACGTGAACGCGCACTAGAGAAATTAAAAAAAAAGTTTATTTTTGTTTCCTAATTTATCTTTCCACGACGACGCACCGTAGCCCCGTTCAAAAAAAGCGCTCGGACATTACCGCTGACCTACCGAACGACGCGCGGTGGACAGGTGCGAAATAACATTTTGAAAGAGGACATGCGAGGCCAGGGCCTCGGCAGCAAAATCACACGCAACGCAAAGAATAGAGAAATAAGTGTTTTTAAAAAATAAATGTATTTTTTTTTTGTAATTTTTCCAGTCAATATGCACCACAACATTAAAAAAAATTATTCGGACATAACCGCTGCCGTACCGAAGGACGCGCGGTAGACAGGCGCAAAATAACTATGCAAACATGGGATATATTATTATAGTTTAACCGTCTTTGGATTTCTCCATACAGACAGTTCATAAACGGTTACATCGCCATTTTTATTTTTCACATATGCGCCGACATTGACACTTAAATGAATTTAATACAGATTAAAAATAACTCAAAAGTACCTACACATATACGGAGAAAGATTTTTTTTAGAATAGATACAACATGACATTTACAGCGTACTGACAGAAACTTAGTTTAAAAATAGTTATAGATATTATATATATAGTAATAGGCGAATGCATAGAAACATTAGGGTATAAAAAAAATAAAACAACGCTGACTACGGTAATCTGATTCTGACATTAGTGATGTTATAATATTCAAGATTTTATTTATTACTGTCGTATTTTTTTTATTTTTTTTTTTAAATGCTTAAATTATCGATATGCAAGTTTTCTTATAACGGTTATAAAAAAGAGAACAGTATGAATTTTTAAATATTAAAAGTACCTATTAAATACTTAAGTCAACTATGAATGCAGTAAAAATCAAATAGTTGGTTTAGTAATATTTTAAAACCTTCTAAGTTATATGTCGACACAAATGTGATACTATACCACACTGTATTTAATACACAATTAGTAACAACTAACATCAATTGTTATGCTAATAATATTATTTATCGTATATTATAATCGAATAAAAAATTATCGAAGTTAAGTATGTATTATTCTATGCTTACAATAAGTTTTAAAGTGCCCAATTATCCCTATATGTAATAAAATTCTAGCCTTTTATTAAAAATGACTTATTTAATTCATTTTTTTATCCGTCCACAGGAAATGCGTTTTTTATTTTTGTTTCCCTTTACTAATGAAAATAATTTTAAAGTATGTAATTATGTATGTAGCTAAAAGATCTGTAGCATTTTGTAAAATGTGATAGTTAAAATTTAAAAGGACCTAAAGGTAGTGAATATGAAACGATTATATTGTATATTTGCAATTGTAAACTATTTATTGCATTAAATAAAGATGTAAATGTACAAATTAAAATATTTTTTAAGACGTCCCTTAGCTTATACAATAATTTTTAATAGCTTCCATATTATGTGACGACAATCGATTTGATAATACATAATCCAGCCTTTTTTACATTTAGTATCACTGTTTTTATTACTATTGAACGATTACTTTTACATAAAAAGTACAGTAAAAAGCTTTCATATAATAGGGAAACAATTTCTTCCATATGTAACATAACATGAATGTTACATGGCTCTAAAAGAATGGCTCAAGATTGTAAAATACGTATTAACTTTAAATAAAAATTAAATTAATTTTAAAAAGCCCTTGTCTATTTTTTTCCTCCCTTTATTGTTGAAAACTTGAAATAAGGTTTTTTTATAGGATTTTCTAAACCTAGAGTATTATCACTACCCTCCACTAGGTGGCACCAGGTTAAACAACACGAGCCATGAATTATCGCAATGCGATAATTTCCTCTTTTATTCCAACTCTAAATACTTTAGATAAAATAACGAAAACATTTTATATTAAAAAAATGTTTTTGACATACCGAAAACTGTAATCGCTTGGCGAAAACTGTAATGTCTTGGACAATCGGGATATAGCAATGAGACTTTATGCTGATAATTTAGCTAAACCTTTAAATTATTTATTTATAGTGTAAGAATTTTTAAATAAACAATATGTTCTAACATTTTGCACGAGAAACTTATAGAATGCATATCTACGCAACGTTTACATAGACATTTAAAATATAAATACGACATTGGCGAAAAAAGCGACACCTACCACAATCATAAATAAACTCACATGGAACTTTGTAACTATGAATTAATTAAAAGAAATCTGTATTATTCTTTTCGAAAAAAAATATTAATTATTTATATGATAAATATCGATAAGTGTATGAAAGTCTAATTTCTTATTTCTGTTCTAGTTTTTAGACTCGTGAATTTAAAAGTATAATTAATTTAATGTGGTTCATATTTAATTGTGTCCTACCGATTCTATCTATGGTGTAACAGAATAACTACTTTTCATTTCAATTTTTTATTATTTACTTTGTCAGGAAGAATTATTAAAACATTTTTCGTTCAATCATGTATAATACTCTTCTAAATTTATAACTTTAGAAAAGTATTTATAGAGGACTCAAAATGACTTTTTAAACGTTGATTCAAAATTATAGGATAAGTAATTAAACTAGATTCCTCCAATAAATTATATTAAATTACAATTTTTTAACCCCTGACTAATAGACTATAACAACTTTTAATACATTGTTATTATAAAAAGATGGAAAATTACTGTCGCCATTGTTTTGATATTTTTTATGGTTTGTGATTATTTTCAACATTATTATTCCATATAAGTGAAATGCTAATGAAACATGAAAATCTATTATTTTTTTTTTTCTTTAATAAAGTGCTTCATAATTTTTCAGTCTATTTCATAGGTCTTTAAATAGAAAATATTTTTAGGGACACTAAATGTTTGGTTCCATCACCGAAGCGAAATACGACGTCACAACCGCCGGGAATGTTTGTTTGTCGGCAAAAGTATAAAAGCTGCCGCTGCTTTGTGTCGCCGCTCGATCTCTGATCAGTTGATTTGACGCGCGAAGGTAATAAGTCGATTTATAAATATGGTGGAACAGGGATTTGAAATGACTCACAAATTGTTGGACCTGATGCAGAAGACCGGCTACCCGATTGCTCAGCAAAACGGCCAGAGGAAATTCGGCCCGCCTCCAAACTGGACTGGCCCTCCACCCCCGAAGGGTTGCGAGGTTTTTGTCGGCAAACTGCCCAGGGAGATCTTTGAAGATGAGCTCGTACCTATATTCTCAAAAGTGGGCAAAATATACGAGATGAGGCTGATGATGGACTTTTCTGGGTCCAATCGTGGGTACGCCTTCGTGACTTACTGCACGAAGTCCGAAGCATCTACCGCCGTTAAGCAATTGAACGGTTACGAAATAAGAGCCCGGCGTCACATCGGAGTGGTGAAGTCTGTGGACAATTGCCGACTTTTCGTCGGCGGCATTCCGAAGACCAAGACAAAATCTGATATTCTGGACGAACTCTCCAAGCGGGTATCGGGAATAGTAGATGTGATTCTTTATAATAATTGCTACGACAAGCGGTTGAACAGGGGTTTCGCCTTTGTGGAGTTCACATGCCACAGAGCGGCGGCTATGGCGCGAAGAACCTTGATACCTGGATGTGTTAAATTGTGGGATCAAGAGGTAATGGTGGATTGGGCTGAACCAGAACCGGACATCGATGATGATCAGATGAAAAGGGTAAGACTTTATTTGTTTTTTTTTTTTTTTTTAATTTTCAATAATGCTATTGCGAAATACGAGTGCTATGAAGTATTTCTTGTGTATGCGGCCAGTCTTCAAGAGCAGTGTACAGTTTCATTAACAATAAATGATCATTTGTAATGTAAATATTAAGCGTATCTCTATTAAGCTGTATTAAACACTTGAAACTTGCAGGTAAAAGTTCTGTACGCTCGTAACTTTCAAATAAGTACAACACCAGAAACTATTCAAACCATATTTGAGTCTGCCGTAAATGGTAAAATCGAACGAGTTAAAAAAATATACGATTACGCGTTCATCCATTTCTATGAAAGGGAGCATGCGGAACTTGCTATGGCGAAATTGCAAAATGCGGATATTGATGGAAGTGTTATAGAAATAAGATGGGCTAAGCCAGTAGATAGAGAACTCTACCGAATACAGAAGCTTAGCAGAGGCAATGCGAAATTTAACAATAGTCTTGACCTTTCACAAACACTCTTGCTCTATAAACAGCACTTGGACAAGAAGGAATATGCTAACTCTCCCAAAGAAGATGAGGGCATAGGGTCAGCTTGTGCAGGAGAGTCTTCATGCTGTTCACCAATGGATTCAAAGATCTCTGGATACCCATATAATATGGCACCTGAACAGAATTATACATTTGCTCCAGCTAAGCTAGATGCAGTGTGCAAAGGGTACGGTTATGAAATTCAAATAATTATATTGGATTAAGAGCAAAGAATTAGTGTAATATATATAATTTTATTTTAGTATTCACCCTGTGTACTCACTAGCAATTTTTATTTTAGGTACAAGTGGGTGCCTCCCATATATGAGTATCAAAAATATGTGGATCCTGTTGGTGCTGAACTTTGGGTTTGTACAGTGGTGCTCCCTCAAGTTGACAAGCCATTTTGGTCAACACCTCGTAGAATTGGACCTCTAATGACCAGTGCTTGTTTCTCAGTTCCACAAGCACAAGTGCAAGCAGCAGAAATTGCACTTCAATATATAAAGGTAAAATGCATAATTTTGTGTTAATTGAACTCTAAAACTTGATTTAATTAATAACCTATGCTTTTTTTTTTCTATTACAGACATTGCGTGCAGAACTCATTCAGCAGTCCACTCCCACAGTTCAACCATCTTACACTCAAATTGTACCCACTATTCCAAATTGCATAGGATATTCTTTTGATTACTTGAATCCTATGTACCAGAGACAACCCACTATACCAGTTACAGTACCACCTCTATGGAGATCGATTTAGAAATGCCTTTTATAATTACCCAAGTCAAAGATTTGAGGGACTTCTTTATATCTTAGCAAAAATTTGCACTTTATTGTTAATGCAATAAAGTTCAGATTTTCTCATTGCTTGACAAAAAATTATAATATAATTGGATGCAATATTGCAATATTGTATTAAATTATATATTATTAAACTTGCAAAGAAATAGTGTTGGGTAGAAAGTAGTTTTAAGTTTCTTTTTGTAGTTGTTGTTAATGTTGACAAAATTCTAAAGTACTCTTTATTAACATTTACTTTGTATGTACCACTAGTTTATTATGTGACAGAACAAATTGACAATCAATGGAACCTTTGACTTGTTTAGATTAGATAAGTTGATTATTTGCAGATGTAATTTAAACTTTGTGAATTTCATGACCATGGTCATTTTCCAAAAGTTTTATGATTATTTTGTTTTTTAATTTGACTTGGCATATATTTACATATGTAAAGAGCTGCCAGAAGTGCTTCCTTGGGCTTATATTATTATATTCAGAGAGAATGCACTTAGTATGTCAAATACATTAAAACTATTTTTATTTTGGCAATATATCATTCAATCTATTTTCTAGTTTTCTTTATCATCTTTAGTATTTTTTTTTTTCGTCATATCAAAGCGGTATGTTGTGCTTTGCTTCCGGCCCCGCCTCAACGCTGCACTTGTATAAAATGGCTAATCTTATAAAGGTAATTGAAAAGTACACATTTTAATCCGAAATTATTGATATTAGATTTCTCGCTATATCGAAATTGTATGGTGTGATTTTTGCTTTTTTTCAAGGTTTCTGATTGAGTACCATGCATTAGTTCTCATTTTCATGTTCTAATAGATTCTATTTGATTTCGGACTAGCTCTTCACCCGTATGTACTTTAGTTTAGTTGCCAACTTTTCGGGAATTTGAATTAAAATATATAATAAAGAACACCTGACTAAGTTCGATTCGAAAGTCGCCATTTTTTATATTCCCGGGACGTTACCCTTTCAAGTACCCACTGACGAAGAATAAATAAGAAGGAAGCTTCGTACTGTAGACTAATAACAATATGTCAATCATATTTTAATTGGTTTTGGTTAGGTTTTTTATTAATGCCTAACTATCTTTAGGATCACACATACTTGTCACAACCCCCGGCGAAGCTATCAGTAATCACTATCTTCGTTAGTTGCCCGATCGGGAGTTGGCTTGGCGTCGGACTTCAAGATATGTTTCTAGATTAGAGAACAACCTTCAGTTTCTTCAATATTCTAATCTCTTAAGTGGATATGTAAGTTCGTCTAACAAGATCTATTCCGAAAAACCAGCAATATAAATTATCCTTCTACAACAGCTACATTTCAATTGAATTAATTTGTTTGCCAAAAAAGGAATCTAGTCACTCGACTAATAGGTCAATCTTATTAATTGTATCAGTAATTTAATAAGTGCATTGATTTGTAATGTAGTTGTGATGACTCATTATATTTTTGTATAAAAGCGCATTATATTTGTGTTTCAGTGATAGGGTAGAACACTTTATACTTTGTATAGGACGTTACTCTGTCCTAATAAGTAGGAAGTAGTAATTAATATATAAAGTTGTTTACGCTATCCTCACTATTTTATTTTGGCCGACCAACCTACAGTCTTTAATATATAGTAATATGGTACGACAATAAACCTGTCTTGTCAGTTTTGTAGGACAACAGCCTACTTGAGCCTACTGATAAGGTTAGACGTTTTTACAAAAGTAGTAGTAAATTGTCCCAAAATTGTACGACTCTACGATCAACACGTGGAAGGAGTTGATTTGTTTTGTTAGATTAGTTTCTTGCCAAGTACTAAATAAAGATTATGATACCAAAATGGTATCTACGTTTATTTTACCAACTCGAGGTTACCTATTTATTAATACCTGAAGCAAAAACTTTGTACCCCCTTTTACAAAAATTGTTGGATTGATTGGAGAAGTATGAAATTTCCAACACTATAGTTTAGAGGAGGATTAACTCCTTGCTAATTTTTTTTTAGAATTATGCATAAAATATATATTAAATCGATAAAAAAAACATTACACACAACGTGTTAAATTATTATGGGTGGGCGACCACTAGTCTTCATAAATTGTTGGATATTATGCAATTGTAACTGCAAATATAACATATCGTTAAAAGCCTCTGCTTGTGTCCCTTGCTTCATAAGAAAAGAGGACTTCTCAAGTCTGTCATCTGATATGAAGAATTAGAGATAAAAAAGAAAGTAGTGTAGCTACCAAGCTACCCTTTACCCTCAAGATGTAATGCGTCAGAGATTTGATCATTATCCTCTATTTAAAAAAGACATTTATATTCTGCGAAAAGTGTGTTGAATCAGCTCGTAAAACGAAAATACATTTTTTTTTAAATATTTAGGACAAATTTTTACACAACATTCTCTTGTCTCAAACTAAGCAACTATTAAAGACTGTAGGTTGGTCGGCCAAAATAAAATAGTGAGGATAGCGTAAACAACTTTATATATTAATTAGACTACTTCCTACTTATTAGGACAGAGTAACGTTCTATATAAAGGATAAGGTGTTCTACCCTATCACTGAAACATTATGCGCTTATATACAAAAATATAATGAGTCGTCACAACTACATTACAAATCAATGCACTTATTAAATTACTAATAAAGTTAATAAGAAAGATAATAAAGATTGACCTATTAAATTATAAATTATTATTAAGCATGGTTTATTATATAATATTATACCAGATATGGTTAAATGTTTATTAAGTATAATTGTTATTGCTCGTATATTAAGCAGTGTTGCCAGTGGATTGTAACACAACGCTGGTACTATGGATACTAGATAACTGATAAACATACTTAAACATACTTTTCTTTTGTAAATAAATACATAATATACACATATGAGCACCCAGACACTAGGAGAACACTATGCTCACCACAATATTTTTCTAGTAGTGGGGATCAAACCCACACCCTCTGGTGCAGGAGGCAGATACACCCACCATGCCAATAATTTTATCAACAGTTAAGTAAATAATAAAGTAGCAGCCTGTACATATCCCACTGCTGCCCATAGGCCCTCTCTTTACAGAGGGTATTAGGGCATAGTCCACCACGCGGCCCCACTGCGGATTGGAGGACTTCACATATCTTCGAAATATATTTTTTGTCATTATTTAGAAAATATGCTAGTTTCTTCATGATGTTTTTCTTTATTGCTGAGCACGTGATAAGTCATCACTTAAAATTGACAATTTTATTGGTGCCAGCACCGAGGATCGAACTCAGGTTGCTCCAGTATATTAAATTAAAGGCGAGCCACCGGACACTGAGATATCATGGTCACCGCTGTACTCTTAACTCTTACTGCATTGCTATATTTATATAATCTGTTATTTTCATTTGTAACTTGATGTCATTAAGTAGTGTAGTCCATCACAATCTAGTCTTTTCGCAAAGTAATTTTTTTTCTCTTAATTATTCACTATCTATGCTTAAACTGATATAACATTTTTCACATGTCATTAGCGAATTCATAAAAACTCCATAAAGGAAAGAAGAAGAAATAGTGTAGTCCTTGATACCGGGCCATAAAATCCAAAAAAAAAATATGTTGTGACATGTCGTGTGTCAAGTGTCAATCTGTCAAGTTGTCAACCAACTTAACCAAAGAATTCAAAGATGATGGATTTTTGAAGTTTTTATTTGCCTATTACAATTTTAATGTGAATATTATAAAATTGAGAATTTTAAGAACAACTTGACATTGGCGTAATTGTGATAACTCACAAAGCAAGCCATTAATAAAAAGAAGAAGAAGAAAGAATTCAAATTAAATTAAACGTAGTGATTACATTCTCTTTGAAAGAATTAAGAAAGAATGAAAGAAAGAAAGTCCAACCAAAATAGAAACACTAAAAGGTGAAATACTTGTCAATAATCAATATTCCCAGATATTTCAGTTTCAGATATATAAAAGTACTCTTGGAATATACCTGAATAAATGACATAAATGAATATATAGAAAGGAATTTGATTGACAAATATTCGATTATAAGTTATAAGCAGCACCTAGCTTTTCCGGCTAAGTTTTTTTTTAGATTAATAATACAAATGTTATACATTTAAAAATGTGGCGAAGGAAGTTCTTAAATATTTATTATAATATTAATGAAGTGTTAAACTGTATGGCGACTAGAATAACAAATGAAAGTAAGCAAAGGTTAACTCACAGACGCTTCTCTAATAAATGTAAATATGTAAATACATGTAGCGATAGGGGTGATGTGCCAAGTGAAAAATACAATTCTTTCACATACAGAACTCATACATGTGGTGAACTTCTGCCAGCACACAATGGGATGAAAGTAACTCTATGTGGATGGGTACAATACATACGGTTATCTAAATTTCTTATTTTAAGAGATTCATATGGCATG